ATATGCATCCATATGTAAGCGAACGTCGAGACCATTTCTTTGCGACTGTGATATTTTTTGCTGACCACCGAGGAAACATCTGTAAAACGCACTGCGCACGCGCACAAACCCACACGCACGCACGTACAAACACACAAACACACAGACATATGATCTCGTTTACATGTATTGTTTGAAGAGTGGTTAAAATTCGAGGTTGTTTCAATACAGCCAAAGATATTTCCAATATATCTACGCAATATTAAGTATATTTAGTTGTTAATTTTGCAATTGGTTGATGCGAACGGCCATTTATTTATTCCGACATTTGAAGCGCTCTTAAAATTTTGAAGGTTTAATCATTTTTTAAATGATTTGCTAAATATTGTCGGCGATTCTTAAAGAATCATGTTCCGAATCATCTTCATTGTCTGGGATTTCAAAATGAGTTCTAGACATTATTCCACGCGTTGTTAGAACATGTATCTCATTTCTTACATTTTTTCTCCTCATTTCATTACCGCTGATGTCTGTTCCATCAATCACAACGGTAAATTTTCATAATATATATCGTAATTGATCTAGCAAGACAAGCTTCCTTACCATTACGCCACGTCGAGATGCCATATATATATATATATATATATATATATATATATATATATATATATATATATATATAACAGTGAATTTTTCCAGCTGTTTTTCCTCTCATTTGGTTATATATATATATATATATATATATATATATATATATAAATGAGAGAAAGAACACAGGGAGTAAAAATCTTTAAAAATTCACAGTTCGTAGCATTTACTTTAACAAAAATTGCTCAATACAAAGTGAAGCAAAATATTATTATTATATTTCCTTATAAGATAACATAACAAAAACATTTTTGAAATCGCTACAAAAAAGCTTTCATGTTTCAATACTATGATTGCACTTCTTCAGAAAAAAAATTCTGGTATTTTTATTTTTGTTTGATTTTCATTGTTTAAGCAGATTTCACGTGCATTTGATGAGTCAAGAAGCGTTCGTGTGCATAATTTATATGTGTAAGCATATCATAATTCTAGTTTATGTATTCGGATTCGTCTGCTTAACGAATGAAAATCTTTCACTACAAAAATAATCATAATTTTTTTCAATGTCCCATTCTCTGATGAACCATTAATAAAAGCGAAACATGTTAGATGTATAAACCTTTACTATTTGTTCTTTAACTTATCATTCTGTCAGATTCCGATCCATATATGATCTCTATTTGATCCCAATTCATGTACATACCACAGTTGGTGTAAAAAGCTGTTATTGTTCTGTCAATTCACATATTGTTACTGGAGGCCGACTTATGTTGAAACTGTTCGGAAAGATGTTTTGCCTACCCATCATATTAGTTGTGTAATTTACAATTTCGCGTGTCATTGCGATGCTGACTTTGTAGGAAGAACGAGTCAAACATTGGAGGCACGGATCAACTAAGACGTACCAGCCAATATTCGCAAGGGAAAAGTGAACACTTTACATAGGTGTGTTCATGTATCCGCTTCAGTGATGGCTTCACATTTGATTAAAAACCAGCAGTATGTCCGCTCTTATAGTACGGTCATGTTCTTAGTACTGATTAAATCTAAACTGATAATCACTTGAAGGTTTGGGAAACAGTATATATTAAGTACTACTAACCATCTCTCTATTAGTAGAAGGAGTTGTTGATGGGCTTAAAGGTGTATATTTTTTAGTCGCTGTGCACATTTTTCCCTCGATTTTTACTTTGATGATAAAGGCCCGATAAACCGGTTTAACTGTTTTTAATCGTTATATTTTGGTATTACCAATTAGAGAGAGAGAGAGGGGGGGAAGAGAGAGATAACGAAAGAGAAATAACCATGGTCTGAGAATCGCTCAAGAAATCCCCGAAAACTATCAACCAGAATGTAATGATAAAATAAACGAGAATACTATTCTGATTATGACGTAGAGTAATAGCAAAGGATAGACTGAAAAGTTGTAAACAGTTACACAAATAATGTGTTCATTTTTTCGAACTATGACTGGAATTAATATTATCCGGTTCTTACAGAACACATTCTTTACACGAACACACACACACACAGACACACACACAGACACACACACACACACACACACACACACACACGAACGGTCAGTCAGAAGAGAATCCACTAATCTTACTTATTATAAAACGCAGATTGTATGTGTGTGTGTGTGTGTGTCTGTACGTTTATATATTGGATCGGATTTCCTACATTTTTCAACCGATTTCAACAAAACTTCACAGGACTACGTAAAATTACCTTGCGGTGGTTCTGACAGCGCCAAAAATTGGGAAAAACACAATTGTTTTTGCACGAAATCAATTTAAAAACACGATAAAACACGATTTTCTCGCCAGAATGAAAGGGGGACAACTCATATCGAGTTATACTTATTATAAAACCCAGGTTGTTTGTCGGCGTGTGTGTGTTCGTTTATATATGGGATCGGATTTCCTACATTTTTCAACCGATTTCAACAAAACTTCACTTTTTTTTTATTGTCTTGCACACTTTTTTCTTTATTTTTACATTCAGAATGCTTTAAAAATTCCATTTACAAGACAATTGTTTATAATAAAATTCTATTCAATCGATAGACTCATAACGATTGAAAACAATGTTTTTGTTTGAGTTTGGGTTTGACCAATTCGTAAAAAAATCCCAAAAAACTAATTAAGACATGCGTGTCCGTCAACCTTAAACAATAATCTTTGTCAATATTTTTTCAGTCTTTATGTTGGTCGATACATGATCTATCTCTTACTGTTAGATCCCCGGGCAACGCCGGGCTCTACTGCTAGTATTTAATATATCGGGAATCCTCTGGGTGGCATTGACATAACAATTAGACGGTAGCTTACTGAATATAGGTGAACTGACTCTAACGTGGGTCTACTCAGTTGGAACTGAGTCTCCATTGATTGAGCATATGTACTGTAAAACCTTCATATTTACAATATTCAAGCCTTCTCATTTTTTTATGTCTTGCGCTGGATTTCCATGCAGATCTGTTATTCTCAATGATCCAGATTTTTTCCAGATAAAATCGCTGTTGAAAGTGAGGAAAAGATTTAAGACCGTGAATGAGATTAAGGAGAACGTGAAGAGGTTGCAAATAGCCACTTCGAATGATCACTTCGCAGAGTGAGTTGAAATGTTCCCATTGAAGGATATAAGGTAAAATAAGTTTAAGCTATTTTTTGGTTCGTATAAAAATGGCTGGATATTCTAGTGTTAAATGTGATGTAGTTGAAGTAAAATTCATAAATTATTTTTTGATCGTTGGGTAGAGTGTTAAATAATAGTTTCAAACTATTATTTTTTAGTGGCAGTGTATTTTGGTTCAGACCTTCTGCGGCTGACGCTTCAGGTCAGATGTTAGACAAAATAGGGAAGTCGATTTTGATTGGCTGAGCTGAACGTGGGAATGAGTGATAGATTAAGGTTTTTCGGGAATTGCTAATTGGATGTCAAACTAACTAGACGTGTTTGGATTGGCTTTGTGCACCCCCTATTGAGGATGGGTCTTTCAAGGTTTGGTTGTTAAACCTCAAAGGAAATGGACTTGTGAGGTTTCGTGTTTGAAAGCGGTTCCTAAATAGTAGGTGTAGCAACCCCCACTTGATAGAAGATGTACCCGTCGACGTGGTTAATAAAATAATAGTTAAGTCAAAAGTTCTCTTTGTTGATGCTTTTCGTCTCTGAACCCAAAGAACATTTCGTGACACCGGCCTAGAGAAGAGGAGGATTGAACTAAAACGAACAGCGATCACCGGCCAGACGAAATAAGACCAACCAACAAACACCCCACCGCGACCAATGAAGGTTATACAACACTAGGACAAAGTTAATAGATAAATCGAGATAGATATGAAGAGAGAGACATCAGTTATTAAAAATGTCTTTGAGTGAAAGAAGTCTGTAGCAATTAATGAAGACCATCTTTCTTCGAGCCTTGTGGACTGGTGCGACAGATTCACGAATAAAGAACTGTACCAAATAACAGAAACTACATCACTTGTGGACTACCAACAGCAGCAACAGCTAAAATGGATAGCACATGCAACTTGAAGAGAAAATAATGACATAATCAAGATGCAGATAGAGTCTCTAAATGATGTTTAGCAATCCCGCAACACAAAATGAGAAACTAACTTCATATTATTGGATTTTATGTAAAGATTATTCACAAATGTTCCTTAAAAGTTTTTAACATCTTTTTCTCATCATTCTCCTGTTTGATCTAAAAGCCTAATAATATAAAATAAATATTATTAGTCTTATTATTTCTTTTTTATCTCTCGAATATATTTCATCGGCCTTCTTCTTCTATGTGCTGTATACCTTTAGGATGTTGATGATAATGGTTCTCCACAATTTCCTATCCTTTGTTGGTCATAATAACATTTGTTTTTTTGCCATCTCTTCTAAACCCTGTTCTACCATCCATTCACTCATTCCGCCAGGTAGGTTATGCATTCCATTCATCTGTCTCTCTAACCTTCTGTCTGCCATGTGAGTATCAGATTCTCTAAGCCGTCTTTCTTTATTATGTCCCCCAGAAATTTCAACTGCCTCTTCCTGGCGTTAAGTATAATTGTCCTTTCTGTTGCCATTGTCTACAGAACTTAGTCCTTGCTCACACCTGTTGCTTAGAGTCTATACTTCATCTGTGAGGAGATTGCCCAGCATTCACTGCTAGATAGCGGAACTGATACTACATAACAGTTGAGTACTCTTTTCTTTGTTTCTAACCATATTCTTCTATTTCTCAATACATTGCTTGGTTTTATGAAGGTATCTTTCGCTACCCTTATGTGCCTTCTGATTTCCGTCTCGCACTTTCTGTCCTCTGTGAATATGTTTCCCAGATACCTAAAATATTGCACCTGTTTGATATCTTGCAATTGAGGTTTAATCCTTTCGTCTCACATTCCTTCATTGCTTTCTTTTTGTAGTTTCTTCTCTGTGTCTGCTTACTCTATCTATCTATCTATCTATCTATCTATCTATCTATCTATCTATCTATCTATCTATCTATTTCAGTCCGTTCATATCTATCTATCTATCTATCTATTTCAGTCCGTTCATATCTATCTGTCGGTTTCAGTCTGTTCATATCTATCTATCTATCTATCTATCTATCTATCTATCTATCTGTCTGTCTGTCTGTTTCAGTTTGTTCATATCTAATTCAAATCAGCAAACCATCCACATCAATCTATCTAATTATTATTGTTATTTTGAAAAGATGAATAATATAGGGTTTACTGTAGTGATATCTGAATAAAAACAGTAAAATGCAGAGACTTTTCTTAACAGATGTTGTGAACGTTCTTTATTGCTTTAAAATAAACATTTCTATGACATTCTATTGAATATATATATATATATATTGAATCTAGGATGAAGCATTTCAAGGGATTCACGACAATCGAGTACAAGTGTAAGGATGTATAAATATCTGGGTTGGATTCCAGGCGCATAGTATGCACTTAGACTTTCACAACTACTTGGGAACGCTCTCAATCTTAGACCGGTTGAGCAGACTCAGGTACCCGAACTGAAGGTATTTCTAACTGGACCCCAACTGCAAGGTCATACGCTGCTTTTGTCAAAAACCTTTCACAATATCAAGCACATTTGTTTGCGATGCATGTGATTGGTCTATCCTTATCACGCTGGGTAACATGACGTGTATATTTGTGTCAAAAGTTGGCACCACGTGATGCTTTCTCTCTCTCACACACTCTCTCTCTCTCTCATTAATAATAATAATAATAATAATAATAATAATAAATTAATATTATTAATTATATACAGAGTGGCCACTGAGAGCCTGAATGATATAAGACAAAAATAACTTTTACAAACACATGAGTATCTTAGGGTAATAAAGCCCGAACCATTTGAATCTTGTATGGAAACATTTTTTAAATCCATTTTCAGAATCTTCTGAATCGATGTTTTTGCGATTCCTAGATGAGCAGGGCGACGACGGGTAGAAGCTGATGGATCCTCAAGAAAACTCTGGCGTCGGTGCACAGTGTGTCTAGGACCTCTTTTTTCAAACCGGGTGATTAGATTCCCAAACGTTATCTCTCCGAGATACTCTGACATTAAAATGTTGCCGGTATTTCCTCTAAGTTTGAATAATTGATCTTTCATTGGAATAGAAAAACTCATTAAGTTTTACTCGTTGCTAGACATCATACGTAGCCATTTTAATCTCCAAGGGATACTCTATAACCTGCCAAAAAAAGAAAATAAAAAGATTGAAAACGAACAAGTTACGACTTTTTCGAACCCTTCAGTTTTTCAGTGGCTTCCCTATATTTTTATATATTAGTATTAATATTATTATTATTTTTACACGTGTGTTTTTTTAACTAGTATTTAACATGTAAATAGTTTGATTCATTTATTTTTAGCGATTTTTGTTAAATATTTTTCTCTTAGTTTTTAAAGTTGTAAATTGTCTATCATTTTAATCACTCTATTGTAAATTTTATTAAGTGTAGTTAAGAAAATAAAATAAAATAAGAATAAAAAGAAAAAAGAAAAAGACCAAACAAATAAGTTATTTTATAGAAGTTAAAAGGGAAGGTTTCTTCTATTCTTCCAAAAAAAAAAAAAAAAAATCACCCTATCTTGGCCGCATGTCGGAAGATCACTACAACCATGCATACCTAATTTATAACTTCGAATAGCCCAAGTGAAGTCTTGATTTGTTGTTGTCTACTGGGGCAACTTATATAATGCACATCCTAAAGCTAGTGGCAGATTTTGTTCTAGATGCGGGCCGAATACTGATCATATTCCGTCGGGTTGCCCATCGAAGAAGTCTGTTGTTTATTTAGAACCGAAACTTCTAGTGACATGGGAGCAACAAGACTGACGACGCATCTAGATTCGGCACTTAAAGGTGTATTTTAATAATAATTATTATAAAATTATTATTAAATAATAGAAATTCAGAAGATATGTCATTTCAGAACTCTAATTCTTTTTCTTCATTAAGACATATATTGAAAAATATGAAAATACTTCCGACGCCGACAGGAAAGTTTTATCTATGTAACAGGTTTGGGACTTTGACTAATGGAATTTACAGACACATTCTTACATATTCACAGCAGCTTACACATTTTGCTATGATTTCTTTTCTTTTTTTTTTATATTTTAAAGATTCTTCTCTAAGTTTACTGCATGTTGCTCTAGTTCTAATGGGCATGCGCTCGAATCCGACCATCGGGATGGTCATTCGCTTTCTCCCGACCTTTGGTGGCGGAGATGGTTACGAAGGCCCAGCCTACTTTTGAAGAGTCGTGAGCAGGAATCACAGAGGAGTGTGGATGGTGGATGTGACTGGGCGAGTCTGGCGCTCCTGATGGCACGTCGTAGGTCACCTTCATGTTGACTGCTGGACTCGTATATCTCGGTCCCTCCTACGCTATGGAGATCGATTTGCAGCAGCGGTTTCCCAGGTTTAGAACGGTTCGCTTCGACGAATCCTTCGCATCAGTTTCAAGGACCGCATCACCAACAACAAGGTCCTATGTCGGACATCTCTCCCCAACATCGAGGCAACTAACCCTTAACATCACCTCCACTCGGTGTGTCACGTGTCCATAATGTGTCCCACTCGACTCCCATGTATCATCCTGTTTGGAGAACGCACCAGCGGCAAGAGAATACGTCGAGGCCCAAAACGATGCTTGAAGGAAAAAAAAATCATGATCTTCCGGATCGTGGCTCTTTCCACCATTCTATACGCTTGCGAGGCCTGGACTTCGTCTTCGAGGCATTAAAGGCCTGGAGCTGTTCCGGCAAAGGAAACTCCGAAGAATCCTTCGCATCAGTTTTGAGGACCGCATCACCAAAAACAAAGTCCTCAATCGGATATCTCTCCCCAACATTGAGGCTACCATCCTTCAACATCTCCGCTGTTGGGTGGGTCACGTGTTTAGAATGCGCCCCCATTTGACTTCCAAGTATCATCGTGTTTGAAGAACTGTCCAGTGTCAAAAGGCTACGGGGAGGCCCAAAACGCCGCTTCATGGATCATCGACCTTGAATGTTGCACTTGTTTTTAAGAATCTTCATCTAATCTATTTACACATTTTAACTGTACATATTTTTCTCTGTACACATACATGCACAGTGTAATGAAGATATAAATTGATATACACATTCCAATGAAATTATGGAAAACAATGCTGGGAACGTTAACTACATATCCAAACAAGAGTATCAACCATCTTCATTTGTTGACATGAGGTCTCTTGAGCTTTAGGATTAAAGTTGAAACTTGGAGGCAGTTCGTAAAACAAACTAGCAGACTGAAAATATGTTGATAAAAAAAATTCAAATCTAGCATTATCACTCCCAACATTAATACGGTACAGTCTCTGCTTTATCGTTCGATATCGGTCCTCATCAATAACTAGCAGACATTTTTGTGAAGAGGTACGTGTTTCGGCTCCTTTTATTTGTTAAAACAAAGATTAAACACAAAGCAGTTAAGAAGGTGAAAACTTTTCAGATTCCTTGTAAATTTCGGTAAAACCTATTGGCTATTAACCGAATAGAACTTCACGTTTTTTTATTCTGTTAATAAAAGGTGTGCGATTCGTTAAGAAATTAGGCATAATATTAATTTATTAAAACAAAACTAGAACTGTCATGACATTCAGAAGAAAGTGACTAATAGTTGCCAAAATACTTCCATATTTTCAAAGCCTTTTGTGACATTTTAAAGTGTGCTATGAAAGAAATTCTTAGCAGACAACCCATAAACTCTGTCTTCGACAGGTGACCATTACTTTCTTTCACGGAAAGGACATTAAACGGTAAAATACACGCGGTGAAATTTCGCACTGAATATAAACGCATTTCTTTAGAAACCTTCAAGAAAGTTATGATGAAATAGAAATAAGAAATACTTTATTTTCAGAAGGTTTCAACTATTAGGATTGTCTTTTATAGAATGATAATCTTAGAAGTAGACCCCCCCAATTTTAACTCCTTTCTTAATAATGTTTGCTTTTTTAAGATCCTGCCACTTCCATTGTATTCCATTTACACAATATTATGATGAAGGTTTCCCCTGTCACTTTTGCCTACAATATGTCTTCTGAGTATCAAATTCTCCTATCCTTTTTTCCTCATTATGTGTCTCAGACATTTCTACTTTCTGATGTATCCTTTTCCTTAAAAATTCCTCGTTGCTTACATACTGCGTCCATGGTATTCTCAGTTTTCTTCTAAAGAACCATATCGCTTAAGTCTCCTCGTCACCAGTGAGGAAATTGTCAAGTATCTGCATTCAATTCAGAAGTAATAATCATATTAATGATTAAGCAACATCATTTTTGTTTTTATCTTCCTATCAAATGAATTTGATCGTCGATGAAGAATAAATGCTCAAAAGTCACATTAAATATCGGCTGCACAGATTGGAACATCTGTATTCTTCTATCTAGATTTCTTTGGGACCGTTCCTAGTTCTCAAAGGATTATGAGAACTACCTTCACTTTTGTGTCCTATAGTGTTTGCAGTTCTCGAACAAGATCCTACAATTGCTCATTCATTCCCTGTTATAGTTTTCCCTGTTGTTATTTCAAACGCTTATATTTTGAATCTTTCATTCCGGGAATTGGTGGGTATGGATCAAATTATCTGAGACATTCTCATCCCTTATTAGAGATGTTCTTAACTTTATTCTTTTTTCTCGTTACACAAATTTGCCATCAAATATCATCATCATTATCATCCTCAGCATTATCGTTATTATTATTATCATTATTATTTTTATTTCCTTGGATTTCTGTTGTATACACATTTCCTTCCGGGTCCCAAACAGAGATAGAGGTGGAATCATAACATTGTAAAAATCAAAACAAACTAAGATCATACTCATTTTACATAGATAAAGCTCTTCGTAATGTGTGGGCTATAATGGTGAGTACCTTTTTTTTGTATTTCTTTAAGATGTGTTACCAGGAATCTCATCAATGAGTCAACCGGAAACTTTTTCAATTAATACGACGGCTCCAACTACAACTAAAATTACTGATGTCCTCATATGCCACATTTTCACTTCAAGATCCTTTCTATTTTGATAGTTTTTTAATATCTTCAATGGTACATTACAATCTCCCGGGACTCCCATGTCAATAAGAAAGCACATTCTGTTTTTGTGGTCTTTGATTGTGATGTCTGGGTGATTACCTTTGATTGCTCAATATGCGTATATTGTAAAATCCCATGAGATTGCTACCACGTCCTATTTCTGTGCAGATATTAACTGGCTCCATCATGTCGAGTTTTATATTCAGAGGGTGCTAACACTGTGCAACTTGATGAAAGATGGTCAGTTGTTTCTGGATATGTATTTATCTTCATTTGGTGTTATAACAATTTTTCAGTATGTGTGCTTGATAATTTCTACTTAGCAAGCATTGGTCCTGTGCAGCAAGAATAAAACCTTCGGTTTCAGCTTTTAACCCTGCACTACGTAACCACTGATAAGTATGCAGTTTGTCTACATCATCTTGTTTGGTACACGTAGATTATTGACCATGAAGAGGCTTATCTTGCCATCGTTTCTGCATTTGATACATTGCATTTGCTTCTGTTATCATTTTTAGGTTCTTTGTTGCTTCAGTAGGTGTATTATGGTTAATTTGCATTTCTTCACCCACTTGAAATTCCCTTTTGTATTCTTTGACAGAGATCATTATCCAGTTTCCATATGTCTTTGAAGATCGATTGTTGTGGTTCCGTGAGACAGTTCTAGTTGAACTAATCCTCTTCCGGATCTGGGCACATAAGGGCGATCAACAGCATCCTTAGGATGATGCATACGGTGGCTCGTGAGAAGCCTTTCTCGTTTTGACATCCATTCACTTAATGTCAGCTATGCTCGAGTTAAGGATATTGAAATTGTTCTGCACCATAAAGCCACAAGTGTTTATAATTATATTCTGTTTTTTAATTCAACTTCGTATTTAACACCAGGCGCACATTCCTGTAGTATACTGTCCTTATTTTCTCCTGTGTATGCTGTATTCCATATCCTGCATTGTCTCCTAAGTATTTATAGGTATTTCTTGTTTCAGTTCTTTGTGACAAAATTTAGATCTATTGCGTGTGTTTCTGTAATTCTCCATTTCTTCAATGTTATTTTGCACATATATCTAATCAGAAATCCATACCGATGGCATCACAGAAACATTTTACAGTATTGAAAAGAGCCTTCAACTCACTGTCGTCTTTGGCAAAGAGTTTGAAATCATCCATGTAGATTAGGTGATTAAAGACTTTCTTTTTTAGTTGGTGTCCATAGTTATTACTGTTTAGTTCATGTGAATGGAGGAGTAATGACAGACAGAAAAGAAGGAGCGACAAGGAGTATCCTTAAAATATTCCTCGTCGAATGGTCAGACAGTTGAAAATGGTAGTGCCTTTGGTGCGATTTAGGTATTAATGTGGTTTTCCACAATTCCGTGCTAGATTTAATGAAATTTACTATTACCAAGGAGACTTTGCACATTTATAAAGCCTTAAAGATCCAAGTGTGTCACACGGTATCAAAGGCTTTACGCTAATCTATCCAAGCTGTGGTGAGATTTCACCGGCAATTTTCCAGGATCATTTTATTTATTAATATCTGATCTATGTAACCATATGAACCTCTTCTACATCTCTTCTGTTCCAGAAGTATTTTGTTTTCGTCGAGAAAAGAGTGAGTACAATTCGTCAAGACAGACGTGACTAAATATGTGGTGGACAGACATGTTATTGACCTACAATGTTTTTAATTATCTGTTTCACCCGTTTTTGGTAGGATACATGTAATACCTTCAGTAATTTATTCTACAATTAGATTGGGGCAATTAATTAGCATTTATAAAGTTTGTGCAAGAGTTTTGATGGCAGATGATAGAGCCAAAAGTTCTGTACCTTGTTATTTCCTGGGATATCTATTTTGGGGATTTTGTTAGAGCTTGCCTAATATTATTCTTGGTTATATGTTTCCAGTCTTGCACGGATTTATCCTGTATTCTTTCTCGTTCTCGATTGATCCACTCTACGTTTGAATTATATTCCTTTGAGTTGCTTCCAATATTCTCCAAAAGTTTTGCACTTCTTTAATAGATGGTTGCTTTTTGACTTCTATAAATGCTTTTCCAATTTCTCTTGAGGTCCATTTGCAATATCTTATTTTAACATACAACGTTTTTCATATCGTCTTGTTTTCTGTGCCTTTAATTGCAGTTTCTGTAAGCATTTTCTTGATTGGTGGAATTTCAATTTCAATTGTATTAATTTTATATTTCTGTTTGATCTTGTTTTTCCGTGTTGAAATATTTGAATTTCTTGAAATCTCATCTAGTCTCGATAATTCACATCTCATTTCTTCAATTTCTCGCTTTAACTTTGTCTTCTAAGTGGAATCTTTTTGTTTATTGTTTTATTCTTTTATTTATCTTGACATTAAGTCTTTTCAGTAGAAAAGTTGTTGCATATATTACATTATTTCTTTTTGTAATGAATTCTTGTGATCTGTCCGTTAAAAACATTTGCAATGCTGCGTTATATGTTTGCACAATATGTTTATCGGACTTAGTCATTTGAATTTTTGGAAACTGGTCACTTTCTGACATTTGTGTGCAAGTTACTTTGCTGATTGCTTGAATGATGTTCATTCAGTGATTTCAATTCTGTTAGGTTCAAGGAATTCTGCTCTGATGTCGTTTGATTCATCTTCATCAGTGACAAAATATGAATCAATGGAATTGTTTATGTTACAGTTAGATTCTTCTGTTTTATTTCCTGAGAGGTCATTATTTCGTCTCTCTTATTCTTCTCGCATATTATCTATTTCCCCTCTTGCCTTATTTTTGTTTCTATTATGTCTGATTGTACATTGTCTTTAGTGT